TCATAAAATTGTACATCACTGTGATTCAGAAAGAAGCAACACAAGTATTTCTTACCATATAGGTGAAGAAAAGTCTCTAACTGCCCCTCAGAAATGGTATTTATCATATGCTATAGCTCACATTACAATTTGTGCTCCATTTCTGAAAGCAGGAATGGGATAAGAACTTTCTGTGTCATACTTCTGCCAGATGTTACACTCTATATCATGGTCAGTGCAATGAAGAAAACACACAAACACAAAAATGTATTAGAAAGGGAGAAACATGAATGAGACGAATTTAAAGCGATCCTAGTTTTTCAGTATAAAATCCATGTAAATGACTAAAATGATACTGCATTACTTGGGTATGGAAGACAAGGCTATCAAAAGAAAAAACATTTCCACACTTCAGTCGTAAGGCACTCACAGAAAAAAACTTGAGAATTGATTTCTGTAATGTTTACAGTCATTAAATATGTACTAATATATCCTGTAGTGATGTGAAATTTGAGAGAATTAAACTATTGAAATACCCTTTTCATAATAAAAATCATGATGCAGAAAGCGCATTCATAGATGGAGAGGCTAAGTACAGGAACTACTGAACATTCAGTATGCTTCTTCACATGTATTTCCCCGGGTCTTAGCAAGTCATTTTGGCTTCCTAATATGAGGTATTTATAGAATATCTGGGGAATCATTGGTAAAGATTTTATTTAGATCAAATTAGTGAAGTAAGTGATAAAAGTTGATCCTCCCCTACTCTGTAAAAATAGAATGTTTTCATGGATATGTCAGATTTAAAAGGAGCATAAATAACAAATAGAAAGTATTCTCTTTACACTGTTCCTTTATTTTGTTATAGAAAGAAATGTAAAAGTGAGGTGGGATGATGCATGCTTGGAATCCAGGGCTCTGGGAGGCTGAGGCAGAAGGATTTTAAGTCGGAACACAGCATAATGACTTAAGGGGATCCTTTCTGAAAATAGCAAACTTAAAAGGATTGGAATGTATCTCAGCGCAAAGTTCCTGAAGTCAGTCCCACATACAGAAAAACAAAGAGAAAGAAAGTAAAAAAGAAAAAATTAAAAAGCCACAGTTCAATTAAGGAACTCCAATGAGCTTCTGAGGCGGAGTCTGTAAAAAAAACTAGTAATAAACTTAGGCAATTGACAATTTTAATTTCTGCTAGATATGGAGCAGTGTGTGAAGTGTCCAGATCACCGATATGCCAACACTCAGAGAAACCACTGCCTGGAAAAAGATGTGACTTTTCTCGCTTATGAAGATCCCTTGGGGAAGGCTCTGGCTGGCACCGCCCTGAGTCTCACTGTCCTGACAACTGCTGTTCTTCAACTCTTTGTGAAGCACCGAGACACTCCCATCGTCAAGGCGAACAACCGGGCTCTCA